CAATCAGCCACAACTCAAGAAACCCCTAGCAATCTCTGGAGGAGCTTTAAGGTTGAGAATGGCTGCTTTAAAGGATTTTCTTTTATATTTGCCGAGTTTTCCTTTAAGCTATCGGGCAGTGACTAGTCAAGAGATTTCTTTTCATGAGAAAAGGTCCGCGTTCGGATAATCCCAATAACAGCCTCCCATCCATCACTGTGGAGTTCCTGATGCCCGTTGCTGCCGTATAATTGGATTTGTTTGTGCAGAACCGTGATAGGACAGCTGGCAGTAGATTGCAGCGACACATGTAATCTGTGGATTAGAGCGATCTCCTGGGCTGTGATGTAAATTCAGATAAAACAGGAGGAGAGGTGTGCAGAATAGACATCTGCTATTATAGGAGAGGGGACCTGGGCGCCTGTCATAGAGGAGACTGACAATGACATGATTAGGCAGGTGCCTCAATATAGAGCCAACGTTCTCGTCACGTCCCCTTCATAAACCTTTCCATGATATCTGCTGGATTACAGCTCTCCTTCCAGGCTTCCCATTACAGTACAATCAATCTAAAGCCAAAACTTAGTTTTTTTTGTCTTGTGAAGAAAGTAATGGAGGGTTAATGGGTCATTTTTTTTTTTTTTGCTACGCTGGGGAAGTTTTCCTTGACTTCCTGTTCTCTGCCCACACATGAAGTGAGAAGAAATCTCCCCAAAGCCAGGAGAATATTCTTAGTTGTCACCAGGACAAGTTTGGTCACCTGTTCTGATGGCAACTCAACATTTTTCATTTCCTATCACCCTCAGCCCCGTGGCATAACTATAGCCATGGCATTCCTGGCAGCTACTATGGGGCCCAAGGTAGAAGGGGGGCGCCCATTAGAGAGGTTGTTGAGTGTGCATGTCAAGTTGATCCAGGGAATATCCGATTGCCTCTCGGGGGATCAGGAAGGAATTTTTTCCCCTGCAGGAGCAATTTAGATCATGCCTTCCTCTGGATTAACTATGGGTATAGGATTTTTTCTTTAATGGTTGAACTGGATGGACTTTTATCTTTTTTCAGCCAGACTAACTATGTAACTAATGATAGCACAGACCTAGAACTGTCATTAGTAGCAACATTTTCTTGCTTCGCAGAATGAGTAGATCTATTTCCCTCACAGGGACACTGAGGCTCGTATAGTGTGTACGGGTCATTTGTGTATGTGGTTCAAACTATTGGGTGCTGCGTACGGGCAGCTCATATGAGCCCATAGGGATGCAGTGGCTGCATGGACACAGCCGCTAATTTGTCAGACTTGCAGGTATGGGTGAGCGACCCCAAGACAAGACCGTATGCATTCAGGGCCACTCAACCGTGTGCCTGTCACATCGGGATAAGTGGCTTTGTGTGTGCAGTCGCTGCATCCCCATAGACGTATATTGGCTGCCTGTATGCAGCACCTGGTGGCTCCAGCCGCATAAACAGATGGCCCATTTATGGTACGGGTCCCGGCACCCCTGTGAGCGAGGCCGTAAATATGGTTTGTGAATTCTAAGAATTCTGTAATAAACGCAATTTGTGATGTGATTTGCTTCATCAGTAGAAGAGACGTATGGGGTTCTGAGGTCTCCCTCTGCCGTCCATCCACTCTGTGTTCACCGATAATGGAGGACAGGCAATTTTTTATTCTTAAAGATTTTTTTTATTTTTTATTAATATTATTTTTACAGTGGAACTAAAACTCTCTCAATCAATATGAAACTACTGTTTATCCTTATACGGCTAGCATTACCCTTATGGAAGAAAAATATATTTGAAATATATTTTAGAAATATTCTTCCCAAATATATTGACATATATATATACAATTTTGTCCACATTCAATATATTTAAAAATATATTTCTCTCTCTCTCTCTCTCTCTCTCTCTATATATATATATATATATATATATATATATAGATATATTTATTGAAATATATTTTGAAATATAATGAATATGGCCAAAATTGTAGTATATGTATATATACACCGTGTTCCAAATTATTCTGCAGATGATATTTTTTACTCATTTCCCTCAATAATTGATGTAAATCAGTCGGCAGAATTCTCAGGTTACAACTATTAAGAGTACAATTCACATTTTATTGAACAAACCTCCTAATGATAACAGGATTTTTTGTTCCGGATTATTCCGCACAGGAAGTTTCAAAACACTTTATAGGTTGTAAAGAACTGAAAATTGTCATTTGTTGTGTTTGCAGCAAATTTACTGAAAGCTATTTCAATCAAACTTTTCCCAACATTGTAACTTTGTAAACATTTGAAGCGGTCACGTTACATTGTAACATAGGAGCCCTTATCTGATAGCAGATCACAAGTCTTGCATCCATTGAACTTGGGAGTTTTTGGACAGTTTCTGCTTGAATTTGTTTGCAAGATGTCAGAATAGCCTTCCAGAGCTGCTGTTTGGATGTAAACTGCCTCCCACCCTCATAGATCTTTTGCTTGAGGATGCTCCAAAGGTTCTCAATAGGATTGAGGTCAGGGGAGGATGGAGGCCACACCATGACTTTCTCTCCTTTTATCCCCATAGCAGCCATTGATGCGGAGGTATTCTTTGCAGCATGAGATGGTGCATTGTCATGCATGAAGATGATTTTATTATGGAAAGCATAGTTCTTCCTTCTGTACCAGGGAAGAAAGTGGTCAGTCATAAACTCCACATACTTTGCAGAGCTCATCTTTACACCTTCGGGGGCTCTAAAGGGGCCGACCAGCTCTGTTCCCATGATTCCGGCCCAAAACATGACTCCACCACCGCCTTGCTGACGTCGCAGCCTTGCTGGAACAGGGTGGCCGTCCACCAACCATCCACTACTCCATCCATCTGGACCATCCAGGGTTGCACGGCCCTCATCAGTGAACAGGACTGTTTGAAAATGAGTCTTCATGTATTTTTCTGCCCAATGCAGCCGTTTCTGCTTGTGAGCATTGGTTAGTGGTGGCCAAATAGAAGGTTTATGCACCAAGACTCTGGAGGACTCTACACCTTGATGTCCGTGGGACTCCAGAGGCACCAGCAGCTTCAAATATCTGTTTGCTGCTATGTAATGGGATTTTAGCAGCTGCTCTCTTGATCCGATGCATGGATCTGGCAGAAATCTTCCTCAATGTGCCTTTATCTGCACCAACCCGTCTGTGCTCTGAATCAGCCACAAATCTCTTCATAGTGCCATCCATGAGTTACACTGAAAAACAACATATTTCATCTTTGTGACACTTAAATAGAATTTGCATAATAATTTGGAACGTGGTGTATATATATATATACACTGTATCTTGAAATACGTTTTTATTACAAAATATATGAAAAATCTTTTTAAAAATACATTTCAAATATACTTTGTCTTTAAAAATACAAATCTCCAAAATATATTTTTAAAAATATTTTTCATATATTTTGTAATAGGTTGTATTGACTGAGCCCGCCATTGGGTTTTGGCCTTTGGTATCCTGAAGAGGAGACAAGGGCCACATAGTATGTAGAAGGAAAATGATTTCTGGTCACTCTCACCATCCAATCCATCATCCATCTCATTGGACTGTGTTTTTTTTTGGCAGTGCTCCAAGGCGTATTCCACCCAGTTCCTGGACACGTTTGATGCGCACAATATGGCGGTGGACGCCGTACGGTGGAACCCATTCCATCCCAAAGTCTTCATCACCTGCAGCTCGGACTGGACAGTGAAGATCTGGGAACATAACATCAAGTACGTACTGCCAGCCTGGTATCTGGAACTTCAGTTTTGTCATAGCAGACCTTTATCATACGTTACGGCAGATACTCACCTGCTTCTGTTCTGTAGAGTTTGTGATAGGCCGTTCCCACTGAATTCTACCTAACATTAAATGGGGGAGGACCTTCATTCAGATCACATGATCAGACACTTTATTTTGGTAAGCAATATATTGCTATATCACCCTGGCCAAGAATGTCATCTAATATCCAGTACTGGGCCTAGGGCAGTGAGCAAAAGGAGCATCGGTGGGGATGTCGCATTCCATGTTAGGGGCTGTCATGGGACTTCCAGGTCTGTGCCCAATTCAAGAGAGAATATGGGATTGATTTACTAAAGACAAATGGCCTGTGCACTTTGCTAGTGCAGCTGCACTCATTTTCCCCTTAGTGAATGTGGTAAAGCTCTGCTGATTTCTATCATCCAATCATGTGCTAGCAAAATTTGTTTTTTAATTTCCTTGAATCTGATTGTAAAGAATACCCAAAGTGAAGCTTCACCACATTTATAAAGAAAAAAAAATTCTAAATGCAAAGTGCACAGTCTATTTTCCTTTAGTAAATCAGTGGCATGAGCAGGGGGAAGAGGATTTGGGGGATCATGGTTACGAATGGAAACATGGGAGATATATTGATTGGTGGTTTTCTAAAATCTCATCTCTGCAGAATGAGTTAGTGTTACTAAACCTGGACCCCGCATTCACTATATCCGCTCTCCCCGAACCCTGCATTCACTATATCCGCTCTCCCCGGACCCTGCATTCACTATATCCGCTCTCCCCGGACCCCGCATACACTATATCCGCTCTCCCCGGACCCTGCATTCACTATATCCGGTCTCCCCGGACCCCGCATACACTATATCCGCTCTCCCCGGACCCCGCATTCACTATATCCGCTCTCCCCGGACCCCGCGTTCACTATATCCGCTCTCCCCGGACCCCGCATACACTATATCCGTTCTCCCCGGACCCCGCATTCACTATATCCGTTCTCCCCGGACCCTGCATTCACTATATCCGCTCTCCCTGAACCCGCATTCACTATATCTGCTCTCCCCGGACCCTGCATTCACTATATCTGCTCTCCCCCGGACCCTGCATTCACTATATCTGCTCTCCCCGGACCCTGCATTCACTATATCTGCTCTCCCCCGGACCCTGTATTCACTATATCCGGTCTCCCCGGACCCTGCATTCACTATATCTGCTCTCCCCGGACCCTGTATTCACTATATCCGTTCTCCCCGGACCCTGCATTCACTATATCCGCTCTCCCCGGACCCCGCATTCACTATATCCGTTCTCCCCGGACCCCGCATTCACTATATCCGTTCTCCCCGGACCCTGCATTCACTATATCCGCTCTCCCTGAACCCGCATTCACTATATCTGCTCTCCCCGGACCCTGCATTCACTATATCTGCTCTCCCCGGACCCTGCATTCACTATATCTGCTCTCCCCGGACCCTGCATTCACTATATCTGCTCTCCCCGGACCCTGTATTCACTATATCCGGTCTCCCCGGACCCTGCATTCACTATATCTGCTCTCCCCGGACCCTGTATTCACTATATCCGTTCTCCCCCGGACCCTGCATTCACTATATCCGCTCTCCCCGGACCCCGCATTCACTATATCCGTTCTCCCCGGACCCCGCATTCACTATATCCGCTCTCCCCGGACCCCGCATACACTATATCCGCTCTCCCCGGACCCCGCATTCACTATATCCGCTCTCCCCGGACCCCGCATACACTATATCCGTTCTCCCCGGACCCCGCATACACTATATCCGTTCTCCCCCGGACCCCGCATTCACTATATCCGTTCTCCCCGGACCCTGCATTCACTATATCCGTTCTCCCCGGACCCCGCATTCACTATATCCGCTCTCCCCCGACCCCGCATTCATTATATCCGCTCTCCCCCGGACCCCGCATTCACTATATCCGCTCTCCCCGGACCCCGCATTCACTATATCCGCTCTCCCCGGACCCCGCATTCACTATATCTGCTCTCCCCGGACCCCGCATTCACTATATCTGGTCTCTCCCTGACCCCGCATTCACTATATCCGCTCTCCCCTGACCCCGCATACACTATATCCGCTCTCCCCGGACCCCGCATTCACTATATCCGCTCTCCCCGGACCCCGCATTCACTATATCCGGTCTCCCCGGACCCCGCATTCACTATATCCGGTCTCCCCGGACCCCGCATTCACTATATCCGCTCTCCCCGGACCCCGCATTCACTATATCCGCTCTACCCGGACCCTGCATTCACTATATCCGCTCTCCCCGGACCCCGCATTCACTATATCCGCTCTCCCCGGACCCCGCATTCACTATATCCGCTCTCCCCGGACCCCACATTCACTATATCCGGTCTCCCCGGACCCCGCATTCACAATATCCGCTCTCCTCGGACCCCGCATTCACTATATCCGGTCTCCCTGGACCCTGCATTCACTATATACGCTCTCCCTGAACCCGCATTCACTATATCCGCTCTCCCCGGACCCTGCATTCACTATATCTGCTCTCCCCGGACCCTGCATTCACTATATCTGCTCTCCCCCGGACCCTGCATTCACTATATCTGCTCTCCCCGGACCCTGCATTCACTATATCTGCTCTCCCCGGACCCTGTATTCACTATATCCGGTCTCCCCGGACCCCGCATTCACAATATCCGCTCTCCTCGGACCCCGCATTCACTATATCCGGTCTCCCTGGACCCTGCATTCACTATATACGCTCTCCCTGAACCCCCGCATTCACTATATCTGCTCTCCCCGGACCCCACATTCACTATATCTGCTCTCCCCGGACCCTGCATTCACTATATCTGCTGCTCTCCCCGGACCCTGCATTCACTATATCTGCTCTCCCCGGACCCTGTATTCACTATATCTTGTCTCCTCGGACCCCCGCATTCACTGTATCCGCTCTCCCCGGACCCTGTATTCACTATATCCGGTCCTCCCGGACCCTGCATTCACTATATCTGCTCTCCCCGGACCCTGTATTCACTATATCCGGTCTCCTCGGACCCCGCATTCACTATATCTTGTCTCCTCGGACCCTGCATTCACTATATCTCGTCTGCACATAGGGGGCGTACATAGGGGATGCACATAGGGAGCGTACATAGGAGATGCACATAGGGAGCGTACATAGAAGATGCACATAGGGAGCGTACATAGGAGATGCACATAGGGAGCGTACATAGGAGATGCACATAGGGAGCGTACATAGGAGATGCACATAGGGAGCGTACATAGATGATGCACATAGGGAGCGTACATATGAGATGCACATAGGGAGCGTACATATGGGATGCACATAGGGAGCGTACATAGGGGATGCACATAGGGAGCGTACATAGATGATGCACATAGGGAGCGTACATAAGGGATGCACATAGGGAGCGTACATAGATGATGCACATAGGGAGCGTACATAGATGATGCACATAGGGAGCGTACATAGGAGATGCACATAGGGAGCGTACATAGGAGATGCACATAGGGAGCGTACATAGGAGATGCACATACGGGGCGTACATAGGAGATGCACATAGGGAGCGTACATAGGGGATGCACATAGGGGGTGCTTGTAGGGGTCATACATAGGGGCGCACATAGTTTGTGCACTTAGGAGTGTACTAAGGGGGTGTATGTAGGGAGTGTACTAAGGGGGGTGTATGTAGGGAGTGTACTAAGGGGGTGTATGTAGGGAGTGTACTAAGGGGGTGTATGTAGGGAGTGTACATGGGGGGCACATAGGGGGTGCACAGGTGTGAGAGCTGAACTGGCACAATAACCACAGATGTTTCTTACTGCTTCTGATCTGACCCTAGAACAATCTGACCCTAGAACGATGTGACCCTAGAAGGATCTGACCCTAGAATGATCTGACCCTAGAAGGATCGGACCCTAGAAGGATCGGACCCTAGAAGGATGGGACCCTAGAAGGATGGGACCCTAGAAGGATGGGACCCTAGAAGGACGGGACCCTAGAAGGACGGGACCCTAGAAGGACCGAACCCTAGAAGGACTGGACCCTAGAAGGATGTGACCCTAGAAGGATGTGACCCTAGAAGGATGGGACCCTAGAAGGACCGGACCCTAGAAGGATCTGACCCTAGAAGGATCTGACCCTAGAAGGATCTGACCCTAGAATGATCTGACCCTAGAATGATCTGACCCTAGAAGGATGGGACCCTAGAAGGATGGGACCCTAGAAGGATCTGACCCTAGAAGGATCTGACCCTAGAATGATCTGACCCTAGAATGATCTGACCCTAGAATGATCTGACCCTAGAATGATCTGACCCTAGAACGATAGGACCCTAGAAGGATCGGACCCTAGAACGGTTGGACCCTAGAAGGATGTGACCCTAGAAGGATGTGACCCTAGAAGGATGTGACCCTAGAATGATCGGACCCTAGAACGGTCGGACCCTAGAACGGTCGGACCCTAGAACGGTTGGACCCTAGAAGGATGTGACCCTAGAACGGTCGGACCCTAGAACGGTCGGACCCTAGAACGGTCGGACCCTAGAAGGATGTGACCCTAGAAGGATGTGACCCTAGAAGGATGTGACCCTAGAAGGATGTGACCCTAGAATGATCTGACCCTAGAATGATCTGACCCTAGAATGATCTGACCCTAGAAGGATGTGACCCTAGAAGGATGTGACCCTAGAAGGATGTGACCCTAGAAGGATGTGACCCTAGAAGGATGTGACCCTAGAATGATCTGACCCTAGAAGGATGTGACCCTAGAAGGATGTGACCCTAGAAGGATGTGACCCTAGAAGGATGTGACCCTAGAATGATCTGACCCTAGAATGATCTGACCCTAGAATGATCTGACCCTAGAATGATCTGACCCTAGAAGGATGTGACCCTAGAAGGATGTGACCCTAGAAGGATGTGACCCTAGAAGGATGTGACCCTAGAAGGATTGGACCCTAGAACGATCGGACCCTAGAACGATCTGACCCTAGAATGATCTGACCCTAGAATGATCTGACCCTAGAATGATCTGACCCTAGAAGGATGTGACCCTAGAATGATCGGACCCTAGAACGATCTTCCCTTAGTATATGGTATTAATACTTTGTATATATTAGGAGTGTTTGTATCGCTCAGGAAGTTGTGTCTCTGCTACAAATCTAATCCCAATGTCCCGGTCCCAGTTACTGGCCATGTTCCCCGCAGTGCCTAGGAAGGTATGAGCTGTCACTTCCAGCTCACACAGGTCCTCTGTTCACCTCTGCTGCTCTGTTATTGGTGTCCTCACTTTTCCTTGTGAACTCTTCCTTTGTGCCTGCCAGTTAGGGCAGTTATATAACCGCTACTGACATCCGACTTCCTCTCCCAGGACTCCAATGTTTGTGTTTTTTTGACCTGAACTCCTCAGTGGGGGACGTAGCCTGGGCGCCATACTCCTCCACCATCTTCGCGGCTGTTACCACCGATGGCAAGGTAGGTCACTACTGATCTGTAATCTGATGACAGGCTGCTCGGAATCTGTACATTGAACGTCCATGCTGAGGGAAGGGAGAGCTAATACACCCCCGCTGTTCTCTGCATACAGACATGTCTGAACGATTCCTGAATTCTTATTGTTTGTAGAATCATCACTGAGCATAGAACAGTCTAAAGAAGCCAAAAGTGTTGTCTGTGTCCCTGCCGGGGACATTCACCCTAGAATCACTGTCCTGTCATGGAACAAAATGATGTCATAGAGTGTAAGCTCCTCTGGTACAGAGACTGATGTGACTGTGGGGGAGGGGACATTAGAGTGTAAGATCCTCTGTACAGAGACTGATGTGACTGTGGGGGAGGGGACATTAGAGTGTAAGCTCCTCTGTACAGAGACTGATGTGATTGTGGGGAGGGGGACATTAGAGTGTAAGCTCCTCTGTACAGAGACTGATGTGACTGTGGGGGAGGGGACATTAGAGTCTAAGCTCCTCTGTACAGAGACTGATGTGACTGTGGGGAGAGGGACATTAGAGTGTAAGCTCCTCTGTACAGAGACTGATGTGATTGTGGGGGAGGGGACATTAGAGTGTAAGCTCCTCTGTACAGAGACTGATGTGACTGTGGGGAGGGGACATTAGAGTGTAAGCTCCTCTGTACAGAGACTGATGTGACTGTGGGGGGAGGGGACATTAGAGTGTAAGCTCCTCTGTACAGAGACTGATGTGACTGGGGGGGAGGGGTCATTGGAGTGTAAGCTCCTCTGTACAGAGACTGATGCTACTGTAGGGGAGGGGACATTAGAGTGTAAGCTCCTCTGTACAGAGACTGATGTGACTCTGGGAGAGGGGTTATTGGAGTGTGAGCTCCTCTGTACAGAGACTGATGTGACTGTGGGGGAGGGGGACATTAGAGTGTAAGCTCCTCTGTACAGAGACTGATGTGACAGTGGGGGAGGGGACATTAGAGTGTAAGCTCCTCTGTACAGAGACTGATGTGATTGTGGGGGAGGGACATTAGAGTGTAAGCTCCTCTGTACAGAGACTGATGTGACTGTGGGGGAGGGGACATTAGAGTGTAAGCTCCTCTGTACAGAGACTGATGTGACTGTGGGGGAGGGGACATTAGAGTGTAAGCTCCTCTGTACAGAGACTGATGTGATTGTGGGGGAGGGGACATTAGAGTGTAAGCTCCTCTGTACAGAGA